GCTATCAGTGGCAAAAAGTGCAGCTTAAGGTCAATCACCACTGGTGACACCCCAGGTGTCCAGAGGCAATGCTTAACATCTTCCTTAATGACCTGGAGGACAGGACCCTCAGCAAGTTTGTAGATGACACAAAACTGGGAGAAGCAGCAGCTGGAGAAGCAGGTTCTGCTGCTGTCCGCAGGGACCTTGCCATGTAGGTGAGATGGGCTATCCGGAACTTCATAAAGCTCAAGAAAAAAGGCATGTCCTCCACATGGAAAATAATCATCTCAGGCACCAAGACAGACTGGGAGCCAAGTGGCTGGAGAGGCGTTTGCCAAAAATATTAACCGTGTTTCCTGGAGCACATCAACTTGAAAATGAGGTAGCAGTAGGCCCCTGCTGCACATGTGGACAACAGCATCCTGGGCTGCATTAAGAGTGCTGCTAGCAGGTTGAGGAAGGTGATCCTGCTCCTTCACTCAGTGCTGGTGAGACACATGCAGAATGCTGACCCCATTTCTGGGCTTCTCAGTACAAGACAGACAAGGACATACTGGAATGAGTCCTGCAAGCGGTCACATGTTTCCTAAGGGCTTGGAGAATCTGTCACATGAGTGGAGGCTGAGAGAAGCCAGACTGCTCTGGAGAGAGGGCTCCAGGGGAATCTCATCAGTGTGTGAATATTTAACGTGGGAAGTGGGGTACAGCAAAGAAGACACAGCCACACCGTTAGTGATGCTGAGTGACAGCACAAGAGGCAGTGGGTACAAATTAAAATAGAGAAAATTCTCTTAAACTGTAAGAAAACATTTTTTTACTCTGAGGGTGGTCACAGACAGGTTGTGGGATCTCAGACCTTGGAGATATTCAAAACCTAACTGGGAAAGGTCCCCTACAACTTGCTCTAGGTAACCTGCTTTGAGCAAGGTGGTTGGAATAGGTGATCTCCAGAGCTCCCTTTCAACCTCAAGCATTCTATGACTCTGTTTAGTCTGAGGCTAATTTCACTTTCTGAGTGAGACACACCCATATATAACTTGGGCCTGTGACACATACATTTCCTACCAAAGGCCAAGAAACATTTTTTGTTACTAATAAATCAAATGGGGATATAAAGGAGGAGTCTTCATGTTTTAGAGGCAAGATCAAATCTACTTCCTTGAAAGAGCTGAAGGACTAATAGCTCTGCTACAAAACTCAGTCTTTTGGACCTGAACAGCTTCTGCTTAGATCACCAAAGCACCTCATGGATCATGAAACGAAATCTCACATATAGGATGAGGTAAGGGTTTTTCCTGCTTTAAGTCCTAGTTCCAGTGACATAACTTTCTCTTTTTATTCTTCTCTATAAAACTTAGCTGTGTTTTATGTTTTGGCCATAATGAGTTTCACTCCCAAAGACAGGAAGCTTACAGGCTGCTATTAATACCTGTTGCAAGCAAAACAAGCTCTTGGTCAGGACTCCAGCTCATAGTACTCAGACCGCTGTCCACACTTCCAACACATTCCACCTGCAAGACCAAAATAAGATCACAGAGGGGCAGGAACATGAGTGCAGCACTATTCCAGCACAAAAGCAAACAGTCACCAAGAAGGGAAATCCCCTCCTACTTAAAAAAGTCACAAGTCTTGCTTTATGAAACAAAAGAAACTGTCTGACCAAAGATGGTTCCATAATGTTTATGTATGAGGGCCCAGATGTTTAAAGATAAACTCTTATTAAAACTGGGTATGGTAGAAAGTGTTATATTCTCAGCTTTCAGTCTTAAGTCAGCACATATAGTGTCAATACTAATACTGCCTGACAGGGCCTCTGATTACATTGGTAAAAAATTCTTTAGTCACAAAACACAGATATAATGATTCTCACCTAGAGAATTCCAACATGCAGTTAAATTCTGATCAGCCTGTGGGTGCTGAACTTGACAACTGTATATAGCTGCACCAACTTCAAAGTGTATGAAAACCGGGCCAGTTTTATTGGGCCATCATGAGCACATAACAGCAGTGGCAAAGAACTTCTGTCACGCAGTGTTATCCTGACTTGCAAAAAGCATGGAACAGAACAATAAATATATCATGGCAAGATGATGCCATTACAGGATTTGGGCTTGGGTGTCACAATCTCTTCCAGGTAAACAAAGTGAGACTGGGCACCAGTGCACAGAGTAACTATCACCCATGTAGAAAGAGTTTCACAACAAGCAGAGGAACTTTAAAGACTTCTTTCTTGCTGCACTGACTGCACCAAAAGAACACAACCTTAACATTGGAAAGTAAGGCAAAAAGCCTTGAAATAAAGAATCTGAAGTTGGACCTCTTCTCTGATGCATCTATCAGTGCAAGAAAAGTCCCATGTATCACATGCTTCGTTAATTTTTATTCCCCTATGACATGTTTTAAGTTGCAATACAGGACACCTTTTTCAGACACAGCTGATTGCATATTTAAGTTGTATTTGCAAATCAAACCCAAACAAGAATCAAAACAGGCAAGCTGCAAATAACCACAACCTTGCAGCTAACCCAGACAGATCACTGTCATCTCATGCCCACCTACACCTGCACTGTTGGCCTGCTATCATGGGCGCTGATTCAGACTTCAGAGAGTGCTGCTGAAGATAGTACAAATCTGAGACTGAGAAAGCAAGTGTCTCAGTTCCTGCCATATCTGCTCAGCTATTTCAGTTTCCCTTTAATGTTTTCTAGGGCTTTTTCATTCCAAATGTTCCAAAAATCGCAACACACTACACTTTCTCCTCTCTTCAGTTAAGTCATGTCAACATGATGTTCTGGATCGACTGATAACAAAAAGGTAGCTACACTGTGAGTTAGGAATGATTACTTTATTCTGCACCTAGTCTCAGCAAAATCCTGCTTCTGTAACACTCTCCATCAGATCCTGTGCTGCTGGGTGTTTGCTAAGAGCCCTCCGAGCAAACTTAAGAGGACTGAGGCAGTGGACAGAAAAGCCATCACTTCAATTCCAGTTCTTTTACAGTGTGTCTATTCTGTCCTTAATTCTGCTCAAGGCTCCCACAAAAATCAGCTTGTCTGCCCACAGAAGGGAGACTAACCACAGCTCAGTATGCAACAAACTTACTGCCCCTGAAGAAATTACAAGTATCATTCTTTCCTCTGAAATCCCTCAGTACCGTTGTGTCTTTTCTGCAATGTTACCTGCTTCGTGCTCAGATTGCAGAGCAGGATGTCTCCAGCTGCTGTAGCAACACACACACACTCTTGCTCTGGAAGATCTTCGATACCCACGATGTAGCCACTTCCATCCTCAGGCAAGAAACCCTCCTCAACCAAAGAAACTTCTCTTGTCGCCTTGACACAGAGGGAGCAATGACTTAGTAATTACACATCACCTCAGTGGGTTTTTTGCAGAAATGACAGACTGACATCCATGGGTGTATTTCATCCTATTGCAATTACACGAAGCATTAACAGCAAAAAAGAGTGTGTGAATGGCACCAGGAAACTTATCTTCACTTATCCACAGGAAACTGTGAAGATCCTCTTACATTAAAAGTGCTAGGCAGACAATGAGAAACTCATATAAGGAAGCAAACAATAAATGACAATACCGCAACTTTCAATCTGTCTTGCTAATCATCTTTTAACCCTTTTTTCATAACTTCCCGCATAGTGTCAACATTTAGAGGTGCATCAGTAGCTGCCTAAAGTGTCCCAGTATTATTAAGAGATGCAGACTTCAAAGACACAGCATGAAAAAGAATTTCTAAGGAAAAGCATTTGCATGTGCACTAAGGCACAGCAATCTTTGAAAATGAGATCTCTGGTAAGCCCCAAAGCTCTTCTGCCAAGTTAAGTTCAGAACCGAATGTACTGGAGGGAATTAGATGCCTCAGAGCTGCACAGTGAGAAGACAGCAACCCAGCTCTAACAACAATTCGTAACTCAGTAGCAGTATTGTACTTCAGCGATATGTTGGGGTTTTTTGCCCCCTAGAGCAGAGTTTCAAAAGCTTCCTTCTGTGCTCTTCACTACCCCTTTGCCTCCTTGGTTCTGTTTTGTGAACTGTGTCTCTGATTCCACTGCTCGCCAGGTCATGCTTAAGACTAAGCCACGTGAGTGATCCCTGTCAAAACACAGCCACGCTCTTAAGAGGCCGATTTAGTATTTTAGAGGCACGGGAGGCCTCTTCAGCCAGCAAGATGACAGTGCGGCGATCCCGCGGCACGGTGGGAGGGCGGCGAGCGGCGCAGGGCGCAGCCGGAGGGTCTGAGCGCCCCAGACACCGCCGCACCGGGAGACGGGCGAGCTCCCGGCGGACACCGCCGCGCTCCCGGAGGAACCAACGCTTTATTCCAGCTCTGCAAACAAAGCTGACCCCAACAACACGCCGGCAAGCACGAGCACTGTCCCCCGAAGCCGCAGCCCTGGCTCTCACCGAGTCCCCGCCGGGGCGCAGCTCCACGAGCCCGTACTGGGAGCCCACGAGGACCGTGCCGCGCTCGGCACCGAGGCAGAAGCACCGCGGGGTGCCCGTGGCGGCGGCGCAGCGGCGCCCGCCGGCCCGGAGCAGCCGCAGGTTCCTCATGGCGCGGGGAGGCAGCGATGGAGGCCGGGCCCTCACGGCGCCGCCATCTCCCGCAGGGCGGGCGGGCGCAGGCGCCGTGCGCGGAGGCCGCCGCTCGCAGGGCGGAGCGGGGCCTTTCCCTGCCTGCTGTGGCCCTGCGGTCTGTGCCGGGCCGGGTCGCCAGGGGTTGTGCCTCAGACAGCAAACCCAGTGCTTTGACTCCTCAGCTGCTCAGCTCTCTGTGTGGCTGCACATAGGATCACAGAATCATAGGACCGCCAAGGTTGGAAGAGACCTTTAAGATCATCCAGTCCGCCCGTCAGCCTGGCACTGCCACTGTCACCAATTAAACCCTAAACCGCGTCACCCAGCGCCAGATCCGGACACCTCGTGAACGCCTCCAGGGATGGTGACTCCACCACCTCCCTGGGCAGCCTATTCCAATGCCTGACCACCCTGACAAGGGAAAAAGTGTTTCTAATATCTAATCTGAATCTCCCCTGCCTCAGTTTTAAGGCCATTTCCTCTTATCCTCTCCCTGCAGGCACGGCAGAAGAGACTGCCCCCACCTGGCTATAACCTCCTTTCAGGTGCTTGTAGAGAGGGATGAAGTCCCCCCGAGCCTCCTTTCTTGAGACTAAACAAACCCAGCTCCCTCAGCCGTTCCTCATAAGACATGTCTTCCAGACATTTCATGAGCCTTGTAGCTCTTTGCTGGACACTTTCCAGCACCTCAATGTCCTTTTTGAAGTGAGGGGCCAGAACTGAACTCAGTACTCAATGTGTGGCCTCACCAATGCCTGTGCCAGTGCTAGTGTATAAAGTGACACTGGAAGCAGGATGATTCTTTTGCAGCCAGTCTTGGCACTAACCAGTTGAGGAACTCCAGCTGAGACTTTTAAGGCACTTCCAGGCCAGCCTTCACACAGGCCAGTGCTGCCCTGTTGGCACTCTTTCTGTCATGTTCTGTCACCTCCCTCCAGGTGCAACTGAGGGGCAGAATGCAGCTCAGCTTTCAGGGAGAGACGGACTTCATGCAAGCAGTTATAGCCTTCATGCTTTTCCCTTTTCCTAGTGGAGCTCAATTCCAGCAGCACTGAACCTCAGTACAAGAAAGACAAGGAGCTACTGGAAAGGGTCCAGTGGAGGGCCACAGACATAATTAGGGGTCTGGAGCCTCTCTCTTATGGGGAGAGACTGTAAAAATTGGGCTTTTTTAGTCCAGAGAAGACCGAGAGGGGATCTCATCCATACATATAAGTATCTCAAAGGCAGGTGCCAAGAGGATGGTGCCAGACTCCTTTTGGTGGTGCCCAGTGAGAGGATGAGGAGCAAAGGCTATACACTAATACATAAGAAGTTTCATTTAAACATGAGGAAGTACTTCTTTACGTTGAGGGTGGCAGAGCCCTGGAACAGGCTGCCCACAGAGGTCTTGGAGTCTCCCTCTCTGGAGACATTAAAATCCCACCTGGACATGTTCTTGTGCAACCTGTTCTAGGTGACTTTGGCCTTGGCAAGGGGTTTGGACAAGATAATCTCTAGAGATCTCTTCCAACCCTAACAATTCAGTGATTCTTGTGTGATTCTGTGATCCAGTCTAATAGCCAAATGCTGAGGCAAGACAAATTCGGGACAAATCGGTTTTGGCTATGGAAATCTGTAGCTTTTACATCCTATAATCAGCTTCATGTGTGTTACAGTTTGGCAGTTTAGGCCAGTGGAAAGACAGCCCATCAGACACCTAGGTTTGCTTTTTTCTCTTCTGGTATTAAACTTGACTAAAGTCAGTGATAAAACTCTGTAAAGCTGGCTAAACTTAAAGAGGGCTTTCTTGAGACCAACAGAAACGGGTGATATCAAGGCTCAGTTATCACTGCACACAAAGTCAAAGCCATCCAGATTCATTATCCTGGGGATAAACGCATAAGAACTGCCTTCCCGGGCCAGTCCAGTACCTGCCAAGCCCATCAGGGCCTGGCAACTCTAGCAGAAAGAAAGGCAGCTGACAGAGAGCATGTGAATCTGCCTGCGCTCTGCCCCGCCCCCGGGCCCCCCCCAGGACCTGCACTGCTTGTTTTGGTCTTTGACACCCCTATTCCTTGCAGTATCTCTTCTGGAAGCTTTTTCAGGGTTTAGTCTAGACCCCTTGGCCCAGCCTGATCCCATCAGCCTCGTCTCCCGCGGCACCAAGTTAACACTGTTCTTACCCATTGGAATTTGCCCGCCTTTGCTCAGTTGCTCCAGCTGACTGCACAGCTGTGGCTCTCGGATTGCGGGGTGCGCTGAGCAGCGGGTCTGCATCGCCGCCTGCTGGTTTTGGAGGCTTGGGGAGAATCCCTCCCAGCAGACGGGACTTGCGGGTCCCCTGTAGCCTTGACTCCTTTCCATGTGCACCATCCCCCTGGTGAATCATTTTCTTCCCCCCAACCAGCTGAAGCGCCCTTCTTTATTACTATTTTCCCCTCCGCGTCCCCGCCGCGCTGCCCGGCCCGGCCCCCCCGCCCCGCCCCGCCGGGCACCGCCGCCGGACCGGCCCGGCAGGAAGCGCAGGGCGGCGGCTGCAGGTGTTCCCGGAGGGAGCTGCGCGTTCCCGCACCGCCACCACCCCACCCCCAAAATCCTCCGACCAGAGGGCGGCTCGGATTCCCTCCCCCGCCGCTGCCCGCTACAGGCGGTGCCAGGCTCCGCGCCGTGCCAGGCTCCAGCCGCCGGCGCTGGTGCCCCGGCGCGGTGCAGCTGGGCTGGGAGGCGCTTCTGGGAGAGGCACGGGGAGGGGCCCTGGGGCTGCCTTGTGCCGCTCACGCCGCAGCTCCGGAGAGGTTTGTGCGCAGTTCACCCTGTTCTGTTTTCATTGATGAGTCAGTGTTAAGGCAGCTTTTTGCTAAATATATTTTTCAGACAGTTCCCTGGCAACGACTGGACCGAAGAAAACCTGGAGCAGAAGCCACTTTTCTGTTGCTGTTGGGTTTGTTGGAGGCTGTGGTTACCTGCTTGGTGGTATTTGCAGCAGTAGCTCTATGCCAGCAGACGGTGACTTCCAGGAGCATCTCTCGGCTTCTCTTAAGGAGGTGAGGTCTTATCTAGAGGGCTTTGCAATACAGATCTGACATGACTCCTTGTAACTTGGTGCTTGAACCTGAAATGCTTACTTGATCCTGTTCATGGTGTGGACCATCATGCTGGTAAGAGATGTGATGGAGTCTTCAGACTGTACAGGACATACTTGGTACTGCCATTAAAGCTCCGGGGTCCGTTCAGGGGAGTTGAGAGTGTTACTTCCTCCTGATGATAGTTCATTTGTGCCAGGCAAAATTAGCTTGGAAATGAAGCTTTTGGGTGTTACAGAACCTTAGTTGAGGCAACACCTTCACAAAGGGTGCTTGTTGTTGGCATTTGTGAATGTGCTCAGCACCAAGATCCACGGCCATGGGAGTCAACTAAAAGAATTTCAGTAGCTTTCCAAAAAGAGCGAACGTTATCCGTAGTTGTCTGTAAAGCTGATGTGGGAACAGGAGTTGGCAGCAATAAACATGATGGTGCTTAGCAAGCGCTAGGGTGGGTAAGCCTTCTTTTAGTCATGAGGATAAGTTGTTCCTCAGAGTGTGATGTTGGGCAACATCTCTGTGTGCTCCGTTCTATTATCTCCATTCACATGTTGTCATACAGCTGGATGTTGTGTTTAATAGTTTTGTGTCTGCAGTTAGATTCCCACTAACTCAACACTGCAACAATTTATTTGCTTACATATTTGCTTCAGGTATATTAGTGTCTGAAACTGAAGTTTAAAAAAATGCAAAAAATTATTTGTAGATACTGTTCTGGAGTGTTGTTAGCTTTCTTTATACAGGAGCTGTGGGTATTTGCAGCTCTGAGCAGAAAATCACACCTGTCATATGGTGAAGCACTTGAAAAAGTGCTCAGAAGCAGGGCAGAATTGATCCTTACATATGATCAAAATTCATCTGAATGCATACCTGAGCAGCTGGCTACAGCTTTTAAGTTGGCCCCTTCTCTGAGAGAAAAGTGGAACTAGAGATCTACACAGATCCCTTCCAGCATGTTTTTTCTCTTTTACACCTTGTGTTCCCCCTGGGAGCCAGGTGGTTACTTTGGCCACTGAGCAACCAAGTCTCTTTTGCAAGGATCACAGAATTACTTTCTCTGATGCATAATCGATCATATGATTCCATCCTACTGGATGAAGAACTAACACATAGCATACAGGCTTTTTAACAAAAATATTCAGCTGACACAAATTAGTTAAAAGGATGCTGCATAAGGCTGGATTTTTCTCCAGACACCATAGTTTAAAGTATTCGTTGAACATTCAGTGTAATTACCAGGACACGCTTACCTCCAACCCCTTGACCTAAGTATGTGCCTACCCCCAGAGCTTTTTATCTTGCCATGTTTTCTACAACCATTCCTTAACATTTTAAGTCCTGAATGGTCTCATTATTGCTATTGATTTTGTATGCTCACAGGCTGTACTTATTTTTCACTCAAAAGATTATTTTTTATTACTGTTTCTTAGTTGCTAGTCCAGGCTAATTTAGAAATGAAAAAGGAAGAAAGCAGATATGTAGAGGTCATCTGAGCACAGGAAGGCAGGGACCAACAACCAAAAGTAGAGCTGGAGATCTCGGCTGGGTAGTTTGAAAGCTAGGGTATGTTTTTTTGTTGTATGCTAGACGTGAGCTTATTCCTTCTTTTTTATTTGCTTCAGATTCTATAATGATGATATAATCAGGATCTGCTGTTACTTATTTACCTAAAGAATTTCCCGTTTTGATCTATTTCCTGAAAGAGATGAAGAAAGGACCAGAAAGCGGAGCATGTCCCCTTGCAGCTCTAGGAAATTTAGTGGAGTCAAATCCAGATGATAACAGCAGAAATGGAGCCTCAGTGAAAGACAAAGATGTGTTTTCCTCTCCTGGAGAACTGGAAAACATACAGCTGAAACCTAGCAAAGAAACATCCAGAAAAAAACTCTGTGGCTATTTAAATAAGCTTGGCATCAAGGGGCCAATCAAGACCTGGAAGTCTCGCTGGTTCTTTTACGATGAAAACAAATGTCACTTACTATACTACAGAACTGCCCAGGACATTAACCCTTTGGGGTCTATCGAGCTCTCCAGCGCCAGCTTTGACTGCAAAATGGAAAACGGGGAAGGGATTTTTGAGATCAGAACACCAAGCAGAGCTTTTACTTTGAAGGTAAGGGGCAGCATCTTCTTGTAACGAAACATTTCCAGTCAGGACAGACAGATTTCTACTAAGGCATCTCTTAGCTTGAATTTCACTTTAGTCCTCCCAGCTTGGATTGTTACCATTTGGACCTAAATTACTTGTTTGATTTGGCAAGGGTGGGACTGCAATATGTGTGAGATGGCTGTTGTTTAACAGAATAGGAATAAAACCTGAACTGTGTGCTGAATTAAAGCAACTGGGGAGTCCTGCAGTCCACACGTAATGTACTGAACCGAAATGAACTCCCCTGTCTAAAATGATTGTTCCAGCAGAAATCTTTGCGAGATTTTTATCTCCATGAAAGTTGCTTTTAAGAAGCTCTGTGGGCGATTCCTGTCTAAAATAATTGTGACATTTCTGCTTAGCCTTGTTTAAAGTTAGGTCAGCGGTCCACTGAGCTTCTGCTACTTAAGGCCATACTAAAGATTTACTCTGTCCTCCCAGATCGGGGTTAGGACCAGAGGATACAGATTCAGCATAGGCTTGATGCAGCTGGCCTTTATTTCTGCTGACTTGTGTAGCAAAGTAGTGGTCATCCCCTCAGGATATGTCTCATGCTGATGAGATTATTCCCTTCCTTTTCCTGTTTTTTTTTTTTTTTATGTTAGGCAATCAGCAAGCAGGCAATGATGTACTGGCTGCAGCAGCTGCAAATGAGACGTTGGGAATTTTGCAACACTAAGAGCAGATTTCCTGTGGGCAGCTCCCAGCTTGTGAATGAACCTCTAGCTGGCAGAACAAGTAGGTGTTGAGTATGTCAGCTTTTCTGTTGCTTTCAGCACACCCTCCATGGATGGTGTTCCTCATCTGTAAGTGGGCAGAGGTTTTGGCCAGATTTTTAAATGCAGGTGCCAACTATCAATGCTTGTTCAATGTTTGGAACTTCTGCCTTATTATGCATGAAAGTGAATAAGCTGCCTCCAAATCCACAGCATGTGTTTGGAGATGTCCAGCTATTATCTTATGATCATGAATTCTATCTTGATTTTCCTCACACATCTGAACTGTACACATTTGGTATATTCCCTTCCTCTTGCTAGGCCTGTGAAATTTAGAGTGAGCAAGTTTATTTTCAGCAGTGATATGAAGATGTTCATTCCTAGAAGCGGTGGTACACAGATGGGTGGATCAGGGGAGGGTACAAACAGGGTGTCCACCTGTTTAGTCATGACTAGATGCACATTTTGTTTGAGACAAATAATTCCCTCCCTAGTAAGTGTCTACTCTGAAAGGTTCTGGGTACCTTGGCATTTTGGTACAGCAGGGAAAAATTTGGTAACAAACTGTGGAGAGTTTGTTACCCACACATTAAAACTATGAAACATGATTTGGGATGTGGAAAGAGAATGGCAAAGTCTCCCTTACTTATTTCTCTAGGCAGTTAAAAAGTTTAATTGTTTAGGGTTAGTCGTTCTTATATGTATGGTTGAAATCACATTATTGTCCTCAAATAGATGATTGTATTTGTACATGGAAACTTCTGTAATTTGATGGAAAACTAAGGAAGACTGCTCTGCTGTCCTAGTTCCACCCTACCATTTGAACATAGAATGTATACCCGTAGTAAAATATTGTGCCTCTCAGGTTACATGAAGGAGCCAAAGTCCAATGGAATTCCGTCTTTCTCATTTGCTTTTGTGTTCTGTTTTGTTTTTACATAGATGCGGTTGACAATGATGACTTTCTGCCTTTGGTGAAAACACCAACAGAAGCAGTGGGTTTAAAGGCAGCATCTTTGCCTGCACCCCAGACATCTACTGCTTTGCAGAACATCTCCCTTAAGCACCCTTGGACAGAGATACAGTAAGTGAATGAAGAGAACTAGATTGCAGAGTGCTGTTGACATGCTGGTCTACCACTATGTGCCTTCTTGCCTGTCGTGTGTTGTTTGAAACAGGACTCTTGCCTAGGTGGAAGAACTGTAAATCAGCTTTTTAAGGATATTCCAGGCTAAAGTAAACTTCCTGCCAGAGGGTCTTTCACATACCCCAGTTCTGATGCATTTCACATCATCTTACTCTCTTAGCAAAGATCCTAGTGGCAGACCTAGGACTTGGTTAAACTCTCTTCAGTGTAAGCAGTGCCTTGCATGGCTGTGATGCATCTGCACAGCACTTGTGGAAGGGCACATGGTCAGGTTGAGCTGGACTCAGTAGGTAGTGATAGAAGCCCATTAGCACTTTTCAGTTGTTTCAAAGGACCTTGAATGTAGTGCATTCTCTAAAGCAGGAGCTCCAAGGAAAAGGTTCTTAAGCCTGTAATATGGCCTGACTGCACAGTTTGCTACTCCTCCTTCTGGATTTCAAGTTGCAAGCCTTGGGCAGGTACAGTTGCACAAAAGCAACCCTGTCAATATCTCAGTAGGTATTTCCTAATCACTTATTTACGTATAACCAAAAAAATGTGTAAGTGGTACAGGTGTAGTAGGTAGCCAGCCACCTGCCAAATATTTTTGTTTGGGAGGTTGCCTGTTGTTTTTTACCACCACTGCTGTGGCTATAATCTGATGCCCATAGGAGGAAAGACCCCCATGGGACCAGTGAGTATCACAATCAGCTGTACTATTTCGCAGGCTATGCATTTTCTCCTACTCACTAATTTTTGATTAAAAGTAACGCAAACATTATCTCCTCCCTCACCCCCCCAACTCCTCAGCCTTGCTTTTGTGAGCCTGACTAGCAATAGTCTCTTTTCAACTTCAAATTGTATTGCTCCCCTCGTTCTGTAAACATCTCTCCAGGCTCTCTCTCACTGTCAGGCTGGATCTTCATGAGTGTAACATGTCTGGATCCCTGAGCTTCTGCAGTCTAAGGGGAAAAACAAACTGCAGCACGAGGTAGAGAAAATCAGGAAAATTGCATTAGATGAGTACTAACTGCAGACAACAGGGGTTGAAGGTCTGCTGATCTTAAGCGCCAGTATGTTCTCTGATGTCAGTAATGTCTGTTCTTCTGCTCTGGAGCCAGTAGCAAGGCAAAAGGAGAACAGTATCTAAATGGTACCTTCATTTACAGTTAGGAAAGTAGCAAACACTGAGTCTTTTGCAGACCTCAAAACGGAGCTTATTTTGTTTTAGCTGATGGGCAGCATGTGAGGAGAAGGGAAAAGACCTGTATGCATACCTTTTTGCATAGGTTTTACAGAAAATACTTGTACATTTGTGGCTCTGTGTGATGCTGTAAAGTGCTTTTGACAATTAATGCTTTTGACAATATCTGATAACAGCAGCTGAAACAAACTGTTTCTGGGTCTGACTGCAAATTTGTTCCTGAATCTTTCTATTCCATTTAGTCTATTGACTTTGTTGTGGCAAGGTTATTTATTAAATGTGGTTTGGAGCACAGAACCCATGGCTGCTTCAAATCTGATCCTTGTCCAAGTTTTGGCTGTGCTGTAGATAGCTGAGCTTTTCTTGGCACTTAGGGATTTCTGCCATATGCTAAGGGAAGGGGCAGAGAGAGGAAGGGAGGAAGAGAGGGAAGGAGAGAGGGGAGAGACAGATGTTGTTGATCTACTGTTACCTTTGATCTCTCTGTTTCATCTGTTATGTATAGGGCTCAAGCACATGGGGAAAGATCACTGGATTTTATGTTGCTGTGCTGGTACCGATTTTGTGTACAAAAGTTACAGTAGTTTAAGCCTTGCTCCCCTCAGATCCACCAATGCTGTGAAGAGTTCATTTTCTCAGCACATGAAAGAGAGAGGTTTTGGGAGGCAAAGTGGGAATTAAGGGGAGGTAGAGGCATTGAGTAGTTTGAATGTACACTGACTGCAGTGATCATGGCTTCTCCTGTTCACTAGCCTGTCTTGATCTCTTCTTGTTTCAGAAACACTGTCTACAATATCTGTGGCTCCAAACAGCTCTGGGGGAACAATGAGAATGTCTTCAGCTTCGATGAATTCCAAGAGCATCCTTCGAACCTGGATGAGGAACAAGAGGCAGAAGTGGAGGCAGGGTGTGCAGGTGATTGTTACTGAGCTTTGTGAGCGGGTCTGAGCATGATGCCTTTTAGTAGGAATCAGGACTTAGCAGGAATGGGAAGGAGAGGGTGGCAAGTTGTCAAGGGATATGAAGACTCTTATCACATTGTCTCAAGTCTCTTCCTGTCTTGTTGCCACAAGACTGGCTCTTTTGGCTCTTCTTCAGGTTGCATCTGTCTATATCTTCTACCTCTGCAACCTTCTGCAGAGGCAAAAAACCCCAAAATCCAGGGTGCCAGACATATTTCTTTGAGGTAGAATTGCTGCACAAGCAGAGGCTAAGCAGAGCAGCTCCACTGCATGCTTACCTCTCCATGGTGGTTAACTTGCATTTGCTGTGGGCAAGATACATGAGCAGGGTGCACTGTGGGTTAACAGGTACCATAAAATGTGGGTTAACAGGTACCATAAAACTGCACAGCTTCATTTATTCTGGGCATACCTGTGTCTGATCCCCACTGTTTCAGCTTCAATCCTGTGGATCCCAGCAGGTCAATTTTCCTTGTCCTGTGTGTCAGCCTTCTCTGCAGAAGTGTTGTGAGTCCCCCCAAAGCAAGACTTGGGAGTCCAGAGTAGCAAAGCAATTCTATGTAAATTAAGCCTATCTCTCTTCAGTTAAGGAAGGAACCCTGGAGGATGGAAGGATGGAGTCCAGGCTGAACTGGATTAGGAAAGCCAGGTGGATGAACAGTGGCTTCCCAGGCTCACATGAAGAACTGTCCAGGGAGAGGAACCCAATGGATAAAGTGAGTGTTCTACAGCAACAGATCCTGACGCTGACAGAGGAAGTCAAGTCACAGAAGGTAAGTGTGGTGAAGAGACTGCTGCTTCTAAGGGCAGGGCCCTGAGGCTGGTTGCAGGGACTCCCTGTACGTTGGTCTTAGGCTGAGAAGTGCTCAACAGGCACTAATGGGACCACTTGAAGCTCCTGGTGTTACCACTCTGTGTGTGCCTGATTGTGCCCAGCACAAGGGAGGACCTCCAGCCATTACTAGGAAGTGCAGCCATCTAGAAGAGAGAGGTAAAACAAATCCAAGTGTGCTCTGCTGGTGTCTTGCTTGTGCATCTCTATTGCTCACTGAAGGTATGAAGTACAATTCTGAATAGGTACTGTGACACTGGCAAGAACTGTCAAGTGGAGTCGTGCTGTTAACAAGAAGTCATTCTTTTTGAACAGTGAACCACCACTAAGATGTGATTTGACTAGAGAAGTCAGGACATGAGTCACTGCAAGGGCTGTCTCTCATGAATGAAACTGTTCTTCACAGACAGGGAGCAATACCAGGTTCTCCACTAATGATGTTGGTAATAATTCCAGTGGAAGAGACAGGAGAGCCAGGTCCCACATTGGGCAGTCAATTGCATCCTTGATTTGCTTTTTTAAGTGTCTGAGATGGCAAAGCCTGAATCAGCAACGTGTTGCTGGAGCAAGGTTTCATGCCTTCGGGTAGGATGGAGCTAGGGAGGACTCTGGCAGTGGGAAGATTAAAATGGATACTGCAATTACCTCCTGGTAGCATTGGAGGATGCAGACTGCATTATTTCCTCCCAATTTTACCACACTGCTGACCAGATCTCCAGGTTCTCTGCTGGGCCTCCCAGGAATGATTGTAGGAAAGCCAGAATTCAGACAGTGTGAGCAGCAGCTTCTGTGCTACAATCCACATAAAGTCAAATCATCTGCAACCTGCTGCAGAGACATTTCAGGCCCAACTCTACGAGCAGAACTTCTTTACTATGGTGTCAATGTGATTTTAAGATTTCTGCATTCAGTTTTCCTTCTGAAATGAGTCAATTTCAAGATCTTGAGGACCTTTCACTGTTGGGTCTGTGCTGTCTGTGCTGCCATTGCCCTGGGCAGCACTGTGATGTGATGACTTTGCATTCCCTTTCCAGGAGCTGGTTAAACTTCTCCACAAAGCTCTGGAGGCAGCCCAGCAGGAGAAGCGAGTATCTAGCATGTATCTCACTGCAGCAGAAGATAAAGACAGGCTGGAGCTGGTGCGCCACAAAGTGAGACAAATAGCAGATCTGACTAGTCGACTGGAAGCTCTTGAACAAGAAAAGAAGGAACTGGAGCAGATACTGACTTTGAGAGACAGCCACATCCAGGAACTCAAGGAACACGTTCAGCTTCTGATGGAGAAGAACCACGCCAAACAGGAAGTCATCATGGCCTTGACGGAACAGATGGCCCGAGAGCTCTCTGACCCCCTGCAAGAAGACAACACTGTCACTGCAGAGACGTTGTATAAGCAGCAGGAGGAGATTGAGCACCTAAAGGTGTGTGAGACGACACAGGTCTTTTGGGGGCTCCCATTTCTGTTCCCTCAGGTTCAGTGGGAGGGTGTTTTTTGTGGGAAGCACAGAATATGCTTCTGCTAGTTGTTCCATCTGCCTTCAAAGGAGAAAGGCTGGAAGGGGCTCACCTGATGCCATTAGAGTGCTGAAAAAGCTTCTGGGTCAGCTTCAGCTCAGAGCCTGTTTTGTTTGACTTTGCATCATCATTCAGTGCTTGCCTCTTTCTTTGCTTTCTTTTGTTTCAGGGCTGCAGTCTCACTTGCTGCCTTCACTAACTTGTTCCCCTGTGTTTCCTTCTTGAAAACAGTTTCCCAATACATCCTGGTTCTTTCAGATCCATCCTGTTGTATGTGCAGAGTTATAATGACCAGTTAGCGTGAGGTGGAGAATTGCCCAAAAAGCCACTTGCTCCCCACTTGGGGGAGAGTGTTTTTGCTTGCAGCCATGGGGCTGAGATTTGTTTCCTTTAAAAAAAAAAAAAAACAAACCAAAAACAAATCAACCAACCATATGAAACCCAAACAAAGCACATATATTCTATATCTTATTTAGATGCTTCTCTAGCTTTATATGACCTGGATGTCTCCGTGTTTTTTAAGCATATACACGAATTTAGCATTTTCAAGTGTCTTGACAATGCATGACATTCCTATTTAATGTTGTGCCTTGGTTTCCTTTGTAGGCAATATTTATCCTGGGGAGTCCTGTCTGCTCCCCAGAACACAAAATTTTTGAGATACTTTATTGTCCCTAACATAACCTGGTGTCCCTGAAATGGGAGGGATTTTAAGCCCCCCAAGAACTCTCCTTGTGTGACTGTTTTGCTTCATGGCAGGATGATATAGATGCATACAAAACCCAGAATCAGTTTCTCAATTCGGAGATCCACCAGGTTACTCGACTCTGGACAAGTGCTGCTGAGAATGAAAAAGCTCTTCTGATGAAGGTAAGGCAAAATGACCTTCTTCCTTTGATGTGAACTGTTACTAATTTCTTTTCAAAATTGACACTAGAATGGATTTTGATCTGCCAGGAGTGAACTTTCTTCCCAATGTCTTTTTTTAGTGTGATATTTCTTCTGCTTTGTGTTGTTCCTAAATTAGACATGATCATTTTCATTCTGCAATAGAAGTAAAATACCTGCAAAGTTCAGTCTTAAGGGTGCTGAAACTTAACCCAGATTTCTGCATTTCAGCTATGCTTTTGTACACAGATGAAAAAGCAACACTGTGTAGGCAATCAGAAGAGGTTCCTGAGGGCTGACAGACTTGAGTCCTGGCTCCATCTAGTCATGGTTTCTCTGCTAGACCTGGCATTGCCACGTGGCAGCGGTCTTCAGGTCCTGCAGTTAGATCAGAGTTTTTATGTTTTTCTTAAGTTTTATTTTTATTTCTAGCCTTGCAAGTGTGCATAACCTGGTTACTCTCAGACTTGTCTAATCCTACCTTTTGGTCTTGAACCACTCCAGGGCTGGTGGTGTGTGCTGGCATTTGTTCTGTGGGTTTTGCCGAGATTTTACTTCCTTGGTGTTTAAGGTATTGTCATGAATGAATGTTTTAGGTTGCTTAAAGAATCACTGGCAAAGCTATCAGCTAAAGCAGGTTTAATATTAAAGTGAAAGCATGACAAAGTTTGTTGGCAAGGCTTGCTCTACTACTTACTGGATGGTTAAAGCACACAGAGGAAAACTAGTACTAAAACCTAAAATCGATAAATCTAAAACTAAAATCAATCAAAAATGATCTGTGTGGAGGCTGGAGATGGAAAAACAGGAAAGGGTAAGGATAAAAGGAATAAGAGACCCTCCCATTGAGTCACAACGGTCAGCATGGACCCCTTGCCAAACTGAGCCCTGAACTTGACTAACAGTTTAGGCCTAAACGTTTAATAGCGTTAAGCTTAGCAGCACTTAATCAATAGTTTAATTTAATAAAAGGTTCATACAGAATTTACTATAGCACAGCAGTAGCCCACTTGTAGGCCTAACTTACTTACAAATCCATGGTACTTAAGAATCTAGGAGAGCAACACTCATAGTGCATTTGCTGTAGCATATTCCCACTTGCACACACACAGACCTATGGAGTATGTACAAGGTATACACCTGTGAAAATTTCCCCTCGAGTTCAGTGAAGTACTCATGTTGGATGACTTTGCAGCTTCTCGACAGGCAAAGAGTGGAGCCTCAAGGAGTGGGGGCATCAGCTCAGGGTCTGTGGTTGTCGTTTGATGGTGGTCCTCCAAGTATAGCAAACTTGAGAGCTGTCTGGCTCTGAGATGTGCCCCACTCAGAGGGAGGTTGCTGGTCACAGGCCGCTGCAGTCTGGGAGAGCTCAAAGGGTCTCACATAGGGTCACAAGAGAGTGGGCTTTAGTCATAGTAATTTTCCATCCTGGCTGCAATTTGGGCTGGTAACTTTTTTTGAAAGTTTGGTAACAAAAATGTTATTCCACTTGGGTTTGCAAGAAAAATAAGTTTCCAGTGCTGTTCATTAAAAACCAGGAGCTCGTTAGACAGCAGAAATTCCTGGGAGCAGACAGTGTTTCTGATAAGCTCAAGAGGAGCTTAGCCCAGGTCCCGTTCATCAAGGCTGAAGCCTAATGAGCATTTCTGAGATCACAGTGTGGCCTGAGGTGGGGGATGCACCACCACAGGTATGTTTCCACAGTGGTGGATTCTGGAACAGGGCAAAGAGGTGCTTCTGAAGTGTTATTGCCATTCTTAAATCTGTTTGCTTTCTAGTTCTTAGAAACCCTGCCTGCCTCCTAACTTACTGCCCTCTCTGATCCTGAAACAGCCATAACCTTCAGAAAGGAAGTAATTGGACCAGCCCAGCATGCTCAGTGTGAGGCAACATGCTGATTAAAGTGGTAGTATGAAAGTCTCCCATACTTCTTCCTGTCCCCTCTATATGCAACCTAATTCTCTCCGTGGTTTCTGTTTTGTTCTTGTTTTCCACTGCTGCTTCCACTGAACAGGAGTCTTCACTGAGCTTCCTTTGAGACACTGGGTGAGTCTTGTCACCTCTGTGGCCTCAGTCCCTCACTTGTGGAGTGGGCTAACAGTCATCATTCATTTTTTCTGCTTTGTGTGCCCAGGAGTATGGTGGTGTCAGGTATTGTCCTGGTGTTTGAACTCAGCTGGGCTTCCTGTGCTTGAGAAACGATGTGTACCAGTGCCATGGGACTGGGGGTGCTGAGGGGCATGTGGCACCTGGTCTGTGGTGCTGCCATGTATCCTGAAAATGGTACGCTTATAGCTCGGTCTCAGGAGCGGTGTGTTTTGTCAGGGCACAGCTAGCTCAATGTGGTGTACACAACTTGTGTGAGGGGCAGGGAAAAAGACTGCAGAGAATTCAGATGCAGTGGCTGCTCTTGGATTGTGTCCTGAGTTGAGCTGGCTGGAATATGGCCACCCACTGGTGTAATGCAGTGCTAAAGTAAGTGATGATGTAGTAGGTATCGATGGGGAGGCATGAACATAATGCTCACGGGCCATTATGGTTGGCAATATGTCAATTTATTATTTAAATCAGTTAACTTTTATACAGTTTAGTTTGTTTAGGACACATGCTTATAAGAAGGTGATTGGATAGCTCAGTCTGTGCACGCGTCTCATGTCCCCAGTTCATTGGACCTGATGTTCTGTCCACGCGATCTGAAATCATCCTTGGCATAGAAACCTCTTTCTAATTAATCTGCTTTTAGGGTTTTACTAAATTTGCAGGTGTTTCATTATCTTCAGTTTCTCAAGGTTTTCTTTCTATAAACATATTATGTTCTCAAACCTTATAATTGGACACACAGCTAACAAGTATAAGCATCACATATTTTCACACAGTCTATAAGTATAAACAATACACGCTTGCCACTTCCATGGCAAGCAAGGCCTACAGAGTGCAGGAAAAACTGTTCACAGAAATCTCTGTGTCCTGGTGACAAGTAGGTCTCCCATGCAATAAGCAACTTCTGTTGCATGCTGGTCCTGCAGTATGTGCTTGTTGATAGACCAAGGTGATTCATTCGCATCTGCAGTTCCACTGACTGTAGAAAACTACTGAATGTGTTTTCTGGGGCTTTGCTGTTCAGCAGTCTTTGCTTTATGTGCAGTAGACCAGGCCAGTAGAGAGCAGTGGCAATGCAGGAAGAACTGCCACTGAGCCAGCTTTTTACTTCTCGTTTCCCCATCAGTGTGCCTGCCTGCAAGCAAGAAACTGCCAGATGGAGAGCAAGTACTTGACAGTCTTGCGGAAGCTGCAGGAGGCTGTGCCTGGCCTGCCCAGCTCCCATGCTGAGTTGGTGAAGAATCTCATCCAGGAATCGCTCCAGTGGGATGTGAAGGAAGAAGCAGAAGAAGGTTTTAACTTGAACCCTGTAAGGTAAGAGTCAAGAGCTTGGAAATATTAACACCCTTGTAGAAACCTGTCTATGAAGGGGAATGTGCAGGCAAGAGAGATCTGGGAACATTTTTATAGCAGGGACTTGGAGTCACAACACAGCAGAGGAAGTTGAGGAAGCTGGTTTGGTTTGGTGTTTTGGAGACCATGAATATCTGTTAGCAGCATATCACCATAGGTAGGGGAAGTTAAAGATGGTACAGCTAAACTTTTCTTACGGTGGCAGATAGTATGGCAAGTGATGACAGCCATGGATTGCCTGGGAGGTGAATAGTGGACATCAGGATGAACTTTCTCTGTAGGAGAGGCCGCCTGGTAGCTGGGGCATCTCTGTCCTTAGGGATTTTCTACTCCCAACATTGCCCTGTGCTAATCCTGGGGACAGCCTTGCAGTGAAGGTGGGCTGCACTAGAAACCTCCAGAGAGCCTTGCCACCAGCACTGCTGGGGCCCCTACGTGTGTTTATGCCTTCCTGCCCAGTCAGTGCTCCTGTTCTGTAACAGTGTCCATTTTATCTGTTTAATGAGTCTCGTGGGTTCTGCAGATAGCTTTGGAGATGAGACCCCTAGGCCAGGCTTGGTCCCTCTGTCAAGAATATGATGATACCTTACAAGTATCCCACCCTGTGGATGGATGGTGCACAAACCCTCAACGAACTGTACTATCAGCACTCCTGGTGTGTTCCAGTTGGTAGGAGATTTTCACTGTGTACCAGGAGGCATCAGAAAGGACTGTGGATCTCTGTTCGTTGGTCTGATGCCCCAAAGCCTTTGCAGTCCATTCCTACAGACCTGTCTCTGCCCTAGGACATGGTAGGGAGAAGGTACACAGGGTGAGCTAGATACTCCTTTAGGGGCTGGGGAGCTGTGAGAGAGGTCTGGTGAGGCTGGGCCACAGCTCAGAGCAAAGTTACAGTTGAGTCTAAGGTTGTATGCCATTGCTGCAGGCTCCCATTGGTCCTCAAGGCTCTGAGACAGTGGGCATAGGAGGCTGTCACATGCTGCTGCCAGGGAAGTGAAGGAAGAGTACCTGTGCTCTGGCATGGGTGATGGGAATGTGGCAGCAGGCTGTAGCTGGCATGACCCCAGGCAGTGTCCTTGACAGAGGTACTAGCACTGTCATTTTTACTAACTACTGCCTTGTGTTCCCCCAGTGAGTATGATGAGTATGGGTTTATGACTGTACCTGACTATGAAATTGAGGACTGGAAACTTCTGGCCAAAATCCAAGCCCTGGAGATAAAGTCCAACAAACTGCGGAGCCAGGAAATTGTGGAGAAGCCCCTCCGTGACAGGTGGAACAGCATTGGAGAGCTGAACCCCTCTGCAGAGTTGAAGAGCCTGATCCGCAGTGGCATTCCAGTGGAGCATCGGCAGCGGGTGTGGAGGTGGATTGTCAGCCGGCACTGCAGCCGCCTGCCTGACCACTACCAGCGGCTGCTGCAGCAGAGCAGGAGCACCGAGCACCCTGCCTGCCGCCAGATCGAGCTCGACCTGCCCCGCACGCTCACCAACAACAAGCATTTCTCCTCTCCCACTTCCCAGCTCATTCCCAAGCTCCGGAGGGTATTGTTGGCATTCTCCTGGCACAATCCTGCCATTGGATACTGCCAGGGACTGAACAGGTGAGAAGCCAGGTATGCTGCTTCTTCATGGAATGGCACTGAAAAGGTGTAGACACATACTCCAGGCTGCGATGCTTGCCTCTCTGGAGTTCTGTCCTGGCTCTAGGTATTTTCCTGCAGAATTCTGCATTTGGTGTTGTTGCTGGGATCCAGCAAGCAGCAGGATGCACTTGTTTAGCGTCTTTGTAGTAGTTACAGAATAGGAAGGAACAGCTGTAGGAGGTAGGGTGAGGCAGTCCTAGAATAACAGCATGAGGCTGGGGCTGAATTTTTAAGTTGTAATGTACTCAGCATTGGTGATTCCTTTGTTTGCTGAGAAGAGTTGAGGGAAATGTCGTGAAGTGTTAAGATACAAGGGAAGTGCAGCAAATAACTCAAGGAGAGGCTGAGGAAACTGAGGTGATTATTTCTGGAGAAGAGAAAGTTCAGGGAACCTAAAAACTTCTTTCACTTGGCAAAAACAGCTATAGGAAAGGTAAACACAGACTTCTTAGAATTGTCCTACCGAGTGAAAAAGGCACCGGGCACAAGCTTCAAGAAGAGAATCTCCAGTTGGAGCTTTTCACATGAGGAATATCTGTATAAGCTATTTCTGTTGTTCTTTGTGTGGTCTTCAGAAAGACATTTTCCACTCCAGAGGGCCCTTGATATTAGATGTCATCTCTCCAGTCTGTCTGAAAGGGATAAATCAGAGCTAAAGGAGGTAAGGGATATAAAAGAATGTATGGGAAGGTGAACTACATCGCATATGGAGTACCTCTGAGTGAGCTCTTTCCTGTATTGAAATAGCCAAAATCAACACATTACTAACTTCAGCAGATTTACAGAAAATTCTATTAGGTGGGAAACCCAGCTTTGTCACACCAGTTCCATATTTTCTGACAGAGGCACATGGGAAAGAAAATCACAGCCTTATGGTTCCTTCAGAAACATGCAGAACAGATCACTTGTCTCTCTGTCCAGCTGTCCTGATACATTGGATATTTTGGATACTGATGGACTGAAGACATGCCAAAAGAAGTCTTGTATTCTTCAGTTCGTGTGCTGGCTGATGACACCTCCTCTAGTGTTGTATTGCTTCACCGTGTCTTGTCCATCACAGATTGGCAGCTGTAGCTCTCCTGGTCCTGGAAGATGAGGAAAGTGCTTTCTGGTGTCTAGTCCATATTGTGGAGAACCTAATGCCAGCAGACTACTACAGTGACACACTGATAACATCACAGGTGAGCTGTGCATCCTCACATTTGCTTGGACTCTCACACAGCGCTTTACAGTAAAGGTTTAAAAGCGAGCAGTCAACTTGTGGTGCGTTTGATTTCTCACAGGACAGTGATACCACTGTGCAATCCTTTCTATTGCAGAGGTGTTGTAGACTTGAGAGTACAAAAGTGCTAGCAAAATTGATCCCCAGCACTAGGAAATTGGGTACTGCTCCTTGAAGGTCAACTTTGTCAGAAGGAAGATGCTCATTAATTCCACAGTTACTATTTTAAGGAGGGCTTAGTAGAGGTGAAGCAGCAAACTTTGATATGAAGAAGGCACCATTCTGCAGCCCTTCTGATAAAGGTAAAAAGATATCTTATAAAAAAGATACCTTTTTTGAAACTGCATTCTATCTTTGGAGTGCCGTGTGCAGGTGGATGAAAATACTGAGATTTTTATATTCGCTGTACTCGCCTCAGTTCATGATCAGAGACAGTGTGTGGTTTTGCTTTGGGGCTCCCTGCAGATCAGAAAGCCCTCTGGCCGTTTGAGAGAGTCTTTTTTAGAAAGACTTCCTGAACTCATGGTTGGTCTCTGAAAGTGTAGCCAAGATCCATGTAAAGAGGAAAGTCTAGGGCGATACTTTGTGGATTGGCTTGTTCCAGCTTTGAGTTGGCTGGAAAACTTAAGGTTCTTGCAAATTTTAAAGACAAAGCATATTACCTCATCTGGTTTGTACCACAGTGCCACAGTCAAGTGGGCTGACACAGCTGGGGCAGTAGTACGATATGGCATAGGGAAAGACCTAACCATGGTCCTGCTCCTTAGCGCTTACCCTCTAGAAACCACAGCTCTGCTGACATGAAGCCTTTATAAACCTGTATCAAGGATCTCACCAAGTACATTCTGGGTTTCGGCTCGTGCAGGCAGAAGCAGAGCACAGACAGTACTTGGACCACAAAGAGATGCTAATTGGGTTCATGTCCTGCTTGTAAAGTCAAAGGCATTCTAGGTGTTCATTCTGTTGGGCCATGTGCAGTCATTCAGACCTGGGCAGGTTTTAATCCCTGTCATTCAACTGGTTGCTCATGGTATTACAGAAAATCGCAGGAAGACTGGTGCAGGAAGATGTGGCAGCATTTTTCTTCTCTACTTTGAGATTAGGAAGGAATATGATCCTTTTGAGTGAGAAGAATGTGCATATCTCTGCTTGTATCTTAGCCCTTTTTCAGCTCCACACCTTGCACTGGGTGCAGTGTGCAAGTACACTGCTCAGTAATTTTGAAGGGTTGGGAGACAAAGGATGCTCTGCTCTTCCTGGGGTGTGGTTCGCTAGAAGGCAGCACCAGTGATGACCCCAACACGCAAGGGCCACTGTCCTGTTGCACAGCTCCTCCTTCAATACTAGGACTGCTGTTGACTAGGGCTTAGTAGTTTTCTTTTTTGTCAATTTTAGGTAGATCAGAGAGTCTTCAAAGACTTCCTGTCCGAGAAGCTGCCTCGCCTCATGGCTCATTTTGAGCAGTATCAGATTGATGTGTCACTCATCACCTTCAACTGGTTTCTGGTGGCCTTTGTGGACAGCCTGGTCAGCGACATCCTTCTGCAAGTGTGGGATGCCTTCTTGTATGAGGGAACTAAGGTACAACTCTCAGTCTAGGCCTCCCTCACATCTGCACCACCTCTGTGATGCGATGGCAGGGCAATGGACATAGATATGTATCAAAGAGGTGTGAGGTTGAACCCCTTGTCCTTTCCTGCCTGTTTGGCAGCACGCCTTGATGTCTCTCAGTCTCCTGTGTTGTCTGTGTACTTGCTGCCAGTAGGCAAACGTAACCCCTGATACTGTGCAAAGTATCCTTGGCACTTTTTATCAGGTATTTGTGCTACCAAACAGCTCTCTGATAGGCCATGGCATCTCCTGTTTTGTGACCTGGACACAAGTATGACAGACTCAGGGAGCATAAGATAGGCAGTTATTATCTGAAAATGTGTGTCCTGCATTGCCCCTGTGCATAGGGAGAACTGGAAACCCCTTGTGAAATCCCTGTGGTATCCTTTTGTAGGCTGTAAATTAGCTTACAGAGGGTTATTCTCCTGAAATTCGCTCTGTGCTTCTTTAGGCTTGTCCTAGCACAGCCTGTTGAGAGCAGGAGTGTCCCAGGGTCAAGCCTATGCTGCAGTGCTGTGTGCCTGACCCCATCTTTCATGCCAGCAGGGCCTGGTCCCTCAGCTGCTTAAAACTTGTCAACTCAAATACATTTCAACCCTCCAGGTCATTTTCCGCTATGCTCTTGCGATTTTTAAATACAACGAGGAGGAAATCCTGAGAATTCATGACAGTGTGGAGATCTACCAGTACCTACGGTTTTTCACGAGAATGATCGTGGATGGCAGGTAGGACTGTGAGGTGTAGACAACCTTCCATCCTGTATTTGCGCTTCCTTTCCTGTTGAGTCAGCCGAACAAGAATTGTCACTGATCTATTAAGAGAGATGCATATGCATTGAGAGGTCCATGGGACATGGATCGGTTTGTCTCTTTTTGACTTTCCCTTCCTGAAATTACTTAAAATATTTTTGGCCCAGGCAAAGGCATGCTACAGCAGAGCAAGCCCCAAATTCTGTGTCAGCCTCCTTTTTGTAGCAACTGGAACTTGTGCTACTGCTTGCTGTGTTTCACTCAGCTGTAGTTGGGGTATTTGGGTACACAGCACAACTCACAGCCTTTAATGGCAATGTGTCTGAGGTGAAGATTTCCATGTTCAGAAGAGCTCAGCATCAGGAATATTCCTCCCTGAGAGGCCATCAGAATTGGCATCTGATCCACTGTCTTTTGCCTGGTGGCTGCACACTGGTACCTTAAGCGGTGGTGTGGTATAGGTGTGTTTAAAGTATTGCTTGGGTTGGTGTGAGAAGAAATTGCCTGTGATTCCTTTAAGCCTCTGCTGCTTGGTGGCTTTTGAGCCCAGAGAGTTGAAGTGTGAGGTCCTACTCTTTGCCTGCCTTGGGATGCCCTTGGTGTATCTGTTACCACGTGTTACCAGCCAGTAAATTGGTTGACCAGACCTGTGTTTTCTGTTGTAGGAAGCTGATGAACATTGCCTTCAATGACTTAAACCCCTTCCCCATGAAACTGCTGAGGAACCGTCGGTCAATGCACAGGGAAGAGCTGGAGGCAGAGCTGTGTGAACTGGAACAGATCAAGGCAGCCTATGTAAAAGAAAGAGCAGAGCAAGGGCCTCAGGACCCAAAGGAGGTTGCTAGTGAAGAGGAAGAAGAGATTTAGCAAAAATAGGGTTGGCCCTCCCTTCCCTCCTATCTTGCAGAAGGTCATCAGTAGTAAGAGATAGACCAGAGGGGGAAGGGTGGTCACAGCAGGAGCTCATCTGCCCCAGGAAGCAAGGCTGTAGTTCCTTGACCATTTGGGGACAAAGTCAGACTTTGTAATGGATTGGAAGATGTCGGAGGAGTTTTAATCTCTTCTGCACTTCTCCCCATTCAGCCCACCCTGTCCTGTACAGTTCAGGATTACAGCTGAGGGTGCATAGGAAGTATCGGCTGTTGTACGATGTGACAGGAATTGACGTGGTGCAAAAGATTCAACCAGGCAGGGCTTTTCTGCCGCGACCCGCTGGGGTAAAAGGATAGGGTCACAGCACTGCAAATAAGGGTTCTGAGACGGTGGAAGGTCTGGTGGAGCAATGCCTCGTTTATTAGGTGGGTAACAACTTATATAGGGTTGGATAAGGGGTGGAACTTGGGCTAGGGAGGAGCATGGGATTGACAACCAGGGAAGTATGGTGATTGGGCAGCTGGGTCAGGAGAGGAGGGGTTTGGACATCTCCGGGGGAAAGGACCAATGGGAGCTACCCCTGCACTGCACCAAAACCTAGCCAATGGCAGGCAGAGGAGCGGGAAAGCAGGGAAAAGGCGGGAAAACTGAGGGAAGAAGAAGGGGACAACATGGAGGACAATTTTTTAAAACAACAACTGGGGTACATAAAACTGTATAACATCATAACAATAAACTGGGGAACAACTGGGGTATAACAGACATATCTAGTGAGTGTCATTATCGGTATTAAAGGTCAAGTCCAGTGTTTTAGAGTCCATTCAGGGATTATATATTTTTCTCCAAGCTTCATATCGTTCCCATTCATCTTTATTTCCTCCAACACTTTTCCACATTTTTCCAATGGAGGCTCGAGTGAGATCTTTATGTACAAGTAAAATCACTGGAAATAACGAACCGAGAACCCTCCCTCATTGGTACCTAAAGCAGATTGGTCAGGAAGAAAGCCTGCTCTTTGAAGGCATGGTGCCTTCAGTGGCTAGCCTGCCAGGAGAGCTTGTGTTTAACGTTGCAGTTACTGAGCCAAGACACTGCGTCCAGGTGAGTGTTGGGTCTGAGGAAGTCCTGGAAGCTGGAGAACATCACCCCATGGGATTTAGGCTCAGACATGGGAAATGGGTTGTGGGAGAGTGGAGTTGTCTCTCCAGTTTGGTTCCCGTGGAAATCCATGGGAGCACAAGATGTGTCTCCCTGTCTGGCTGGGAAATGCTGGGAGCTCTCTCTCCTCTTTGTTTAGCTTTGAGCAGAGCCATCTATGGATTGGCCTGACCCTGGCAGCACTCTGCCTTCCAGAGGTGAGTTTGCTCTGTAGAGGAACTCTCATCTCAGTGTGAAACCAACCACAGCCTGGCTTCAGGCAGGGCCTATGTTACAGAGACTTTTACTGGGAACAACTGGATCTTCTGATGGCCTCATGCTTGGCCAGGATGAGTGTGTGGCCATCTCTCTCTGCCCCACAGTTACTGTTTTCCTGTGCTGCTATCCCTGTCTCTGACTCCTATTCATAATGGAGGGACAAGGTCTTTTCTGTAGGAGTTTACAACAATATTGAAGGTGTTTTGCCCATGGCTTATGACACTCTGGGAATGAACCTGCAAACCACAGGGACTAGGTCACAAAAGATGACCTGATTTTCTTTAGAAAAATCATTAATTTCCCCCAAATCCAGGTCTAGTACACAGAGATGCCCTGTCTGCCTTTGGGAATGGGGTCTGATAGCCTTCTTCCTTGCCTCCCAGGCTTGCCCATCCCCTGGGCTGGATGCCCTGCCTGTGCGGCTCAGTCCTCCACAGACCCAGGATGAGTCAAGTGCTTCAGATGAATACAATTTCTTTTCCCTAACACAATGCCAGATCCTGCAGCCCCACTTTCCTGCTGAGTGGTGCTTTATTCCAGGTGTGCCTGCAGTGCTGGCACTGACAACATGCAGCAGACCCTGCTGTAATGGGAGCTCTACTCTGTGTTTTTAGACTGACATTGAACCCCAGTGGATTATACCTCCTTTAAACATCCTGTGGTTGACAACCCAACCCTTCAAGCTGTCAGTGCTTGCAGAGGAAGGGGAAAGATGCATTCATAGCCCATAGTGTCCTCAGCCTGGTGCCACAGACTCTGGTGGAAGCAGCACCAGCCTCTGTTCACTTGAGACGCGTGGTCTGCCTCAGCTCTGCCTTAGGCACAACTGGACAAGTCAGCCAGCTTCAGTGAATTGTAGAAGACTGGGAGAGAGCTGTGGAGACCAACCACACAGTATGGAAGTAATCAAAGTGGAAATGAGGTTTTGGGAAGAGTGGATAGATCCTCTGCGTGTCACTGAGAGCTGCACACATTGAAAGTGCAGGATGAGAAGAAAATGTTACTGGAATCTTACAACAATATCTCAAAAAATGCACTTGCACCACCTAGGTAAGGTAGCCTAAAAGGCAGAAGATTTTTCCTCACAGATGGTATTGCTAATGTAATTTACTCATACTGTTATGTGCATGGGTGTGCACAAATACGGATTTTTGCTACTGCTACAGACATTATCTTTTAAATCAAGACCATGAAAATAACAAGTTTACTTAAATTTTTTTTATTCCTAGAGCTTTCTGCAAAAGCTTAAAAATCTTTCCTCCTGACTTGCCCTTATGTTTATTAAAAAAAGCATTTGAAACATGTATTGTTAGACCAAACCATAGCCAGATTATCTCTATGGTATATAATAAACTGTGGTCTATGTGGTATATAATGACCTGTTAAAAAATAAACACCTCTGAAGTAAATGTAAGAACCAAGGTGTTGTCCCTGGTGGGGAATTCTGAGAATAATTTTTAATTGAAATCAGAAGGGAAGGGCATCTCAGGTTTTTACAAGTTTCTTTTCTTGTGTGTCTTCACCAGCTCTTGGTTTTGCTTCAGACATTATTTGCTAAGGGCTGTTTCCTCTGGTCATGTTGCTGACTAGTCACTTGTCATTCAGTGGGGTAGTTCTTTACTAAAACATGGTGGATGCAGGAATATCTGCAAAGCCTATGCAGACCTGCACCTTGCCAACAAGCTTACATGTCCTCTGGGCCCTACTCTACTTCCCTTGTGCTTCACAAACTTTAGGGGTACTGAAAAGCGCTGAACTCAGGTCACAAGGTGCCAGCTGGGCCCGGAGGTTAGGTTTGTCTAATGTAAATCCCTCAGGCCTCTTTGAGACCTGCAGTGAGTATCAGTCAGTGGCAGGGGTGCTTTGAACAGAGGTTGTCTCTGCATGAAATGCTCAAGGATGATTTCTGCTGCCACTGCCAGCTGTTGTGGCTGGGATACAGTTTGACCTGGTTGTGCAGCCCAGCAGCTCCTCCTGCCTGCACTGGCACCTGTGGATAAACCAGGTGACTTTCTACCCAACACTTGTCTTTGCTGAGTCTTGCTGTATGCATAACGGTACTTGTTAAATTAAGCTTTCTGTCTCTGCATTAATTTAAACCTTGGGATAGCAGCTCCAACCTTAGAAAGGATGGTTTTGATTTCCACACCCACCCTCTTTCTTAGAATGTGCCATTAATCTATAGTTCACCTTGTTGCAGGACCTTGGGGCCACCTAAGGTTTATAGGGTTTGAGAGGATAAATTGGTGGAGGGTGGCCAAACAGTGCTGGCTCAGTAAGTCCCTGAGCTGCAAACAGGTAGAGGTCATGAGGCTTCCCTTCTTCTCCCCTTTTTGGCCCTGGGTGATGTTGGGCTGGCAGGATCTATGCTACTGTATGCTGCAGCTCAGCCCTTGCATATAAAAGCACTAGTGCTCACATGAATGGCACGTGCTCATGACTTGCTCATGACTAGCACAGCCAGGTGCCTACAGCGGACAGGGCTGCAAGCAGCAGGAATCTTTCCCCTCAGTAACCTCAAACAAAGACATCTTTGTCCCCTGTCAGTCCTGCATGCAATCTTCTACAGCTTAAACAGGCCTGGAGCACAACACATGTGAAAGGAAGCGCTGGACATCATCAGTGCATCAGTACCTGACCTGTCTTGTACTTCTCCATGGTGAAGATGTGAGCACATGCTGCTCAGACAAGTGTCCTGAGGGGTTCCAGAAGTCACCTAAGTACCTGAAGGCAGGGCAGGCCAAGGGCAGCTGCTGCACAAGCAGCCATGATTCATACCCATAGCTGGATAATTTCCTGAGCTCCATCCATGGACTTTGCTTCTCAACAGCTGTCTGGTGGTATATCTGTGCAAGTACCTCAGTCTCCTGGGATGTCCCAGCCTGGAACCTGGCAGCAAGGCATGAAGAGTACTTTTGGGGCAGGCTGATGGATTCTGAAATTCTGCTCAACACCTTTGAAGAATTTGGTGGATGTAGTCTTGGGCATGATTTTCCTTCTCCAAAAGGACTTCAGGTGTCCCGAGGGGCATGACTTCACATGTGCAGTCTAGTCTTTTACTAGAGTTGGAGTCTCTAGTGAAAAGGTAGTCACTGGGTCAATGGTCATGATCTCCCCTTGCTGGGATTACCTTTTGGATAAGGACACGGTTCTATCGATGGGGAGGCATGAACATAATGCTCACAGGCCATTATGGTCGGCAATATGTCAATTTATTATTTAAATCAGTTAACTTTTATACAGTTTAGTTTGTTTAGGACACATGCTTATAAGAAGGTGATTGGATAGCTCAGTCTGTGCACGCGTCTCATGTCCCCAGTTCATTGGACCTGATGTTCTGTCCACGCGATCTGAAATCATCCTTGGCATAGAAACCTCTTTCTAATTAATCTGCTTTAGGGTTTTACTAAATTTGCAGGTGTTTCATTATCTTCAGTTTCTCAAGGTTTTCTTTCTATAAACATATTATGTTCTCAAACCTTATAATTAGACACACAGCTAACAAGTATAAGCATCACATATTTTCACACAGTCTATAAGTATAAACAATACACGCTTGCCACTTCCATGGCAAGCAAGGCCTACAGAGTGCAGGAAAAACTGTTCACAGAAATCTCTGTGTCCGGCGACACGGTTCTTGCCTCATTCTTTTGGCACTGTCAGCAGGTCTTACTGCTCTACTGATTTCAATCCCCGTTTTCTTGCTCTGAACCAAAGCAACTGAGGAAACAACAGGCATTTGAGACACCCCCACTGTCTTTGCCAGAGTCTGTCTCAGGTTGATACCCAGCTCCTTGGTAAATAGTCCTCTGTCTTGAGGAGTTACAAACTGCTAACAGCATCTGAGCTATTGTTTGGGCATGCTTGATTTTCTACTTGGTCCCTTACACTGATTTGCAGCATTTCACTTGTGGAGGACACTGAGTGTCACAATCTTGTCACAGCTGCTGGCTCAGCCCAGAGCTGCCTCTGCTGCCCATGACTGGTGGGACTAAAGCATGGAAATGAGCTAGCTGTCTCAGGCTTCAATGATCGGACAGGACCAGAGTGGTGTTAGCTGAGAGGGTGACCTGGCTAAGGAAATCTTCTCTGCCCTTTGATCTTGGGCATTGCTGTCTACTTGCCAAGTTCCTCACCCAGGGGACCAGGGAGGTTTTTAGTGCTGCCGAGATACCAGCTAACCCCAAAGTCTGAGTGTGAGC